CTAGCTGCACAGGCCGCTGGTGGGCCACAACAAGCAGTGTTACATGGGAGTGTCGAGTCGCTCCCATAATCACCCGCGTGGCTGCATTCTGGACCAGCTGGAGCCTCCAGGTGCTCTTCAAGGGGAGCCCCATGTAGAGAGTGTTACAGTAGTCCAGATGGGAGGTAACGAGAGCATGAGTGACTGTGCCCAAGGAATCCCAGTCCAGAAAGGGATACAACTGGTAGATTAGGCAAACCTGATAAAAAGCCCCCCTGGCCACAGCCGTCAAATGGTCTTCTAGGGCCAGCTGTGAGTCCAGGAGGACACCCAAGTTGTGAACCCTCTCTGAAGGGGTCAAGGTCTCACCCCCAATAGTCAGCGATGGGACTAGCTGACAATGACAGGACGCCGGAAACCACAGCCACTTGGTCTTGGAGGGGTTGAGTCTGAGTTTCTTTCTCCCCATCCAGATCCATACGGCCTCCAGGCACCGGGTCATCACGTCAAAGGTATCATTGGGGTGGAATCATTGGGCCCGGGGTGGAAATGCACAGCTGAGTATCATCAGCGTACTGATGGAAATTCACCCCAAAGCCATGGATGATCTCACCCAGCGGCTTCACATAAATGTTGAACAGGAGGGGCAAGAGGACTGACTCTTGCAGCTCAGACTAGGCACCTCGGGGTCGACCTCTGCCCTCCTGCCAACACAGACTGCATACGGTTCGAAAGGAAGGAGGAGAACCACCGCAACACGGTGCCCCCCAATCCTAGCCCCTCCAACCGGCGCAGCATGATACCATGGTCAATGGTATCAAAAGCCGCTAAGAGGTCTAATAAAACCAGGACAGAGGAACAACTCCTGTTCCGATCCCTCCAGAGATCATCAACCAATGTGACCAATGCCGTTTCCATGCTGTACCCAGGCCTCAAGCAAGCAAAGTCAACTGATGCCTGAAGACAAATTCACTTAACAGCCCTGTTACTAAGTTAACAATTGCAGTGATTCGCTTAACAAGTGTGGCAAGAAAGGTTGTAAAACTCACTGAACACATGTCTCAATTTAGCAACAGGAATTTTGGGATCAATTTTGGTCGTAAATTGAGGACTACCTGTACTTATAAGTATCAGATGTATGGACACATTCCTTTAAGGAAGTCAGAAACAAAAAGATTAAAGGTAAAGGTTCCCCTCGCACATATGTGCTAGTCGTTCCCGACTCTAGGGGGTGGTGCTCATCTCTGTTTCAAATCCGAAGAGCCAGCACTGTCCTAAGACCTCTCCGTGGTCGTGTGGCTGGCATGACTAAACGCCAAAAGCGTACAGAACGCTGTTACCTTCCCACCAAAGGTGGTCCCTATTTTTCTACTTGCCTTTTTTGCACGCTTTCAAACTGCTAGGTTGGCAGAAGCTGGGACAAATAACGGGAGCTCACCCCGTTACATGGCACTAGAGATTCGAACTGCTGAATTGCCGACCTTTCGATTGACAAGCTCAGTGTCTAATGAACCTAATGAACAAGGTATATATTTTGGGAAAGAGGTGCCTTGATTCTTATAATCCTGAGTGCATCCTTTATAAAATAATTCGCAAGTCCAACAAAACTGATTTGAAATCAATACACGCAAAGGGGGAAAAATGACAAAAGGCAACTTGGGGAAAACAATTTTACTAGAAAGAAATTGTTCAAGGAATATTTATCCATTCTGGTATAAAATTATAGCAATCACAGGCCTCTGGTGTTTGGGAGGCACCCAACTGATAGGTCTATTGAAATATAAAACTAAATAAAAAGGGAAGGGGACAGAAGTTCAATCAGATAGAAATATTTGTAAATGTTTAAAAGCTGTAAATGAGATGCACGTACGTTTATTTGGTTCGTTATTTTATTAATCCAATTTATACAGCCATCTCACCAAAAACGAACTCTGGGTGGCAAACGAGAATCAACATGAACAATAAAGAAAAGCAAAAAATATATACAATATAAAAAATTTTATTAATACACTTCACTAAAGCGACAATACAAGCGATAGGAAAGGAAGGATTTTGTTTTTTAAGGCCACCTCAATTATGCAGCTACCTGAACAGGTTGCCAGTTATCTAGAAGCCCCTAATTATCTCCACTCAGGAAAATTTGTAGAATTTGGGTAGTTGTCAGATTCTGGCATCTGTTTCTAAGATATGATACTTGCTTGCCTAACACCTCCAAAATCAAACAGAATTTGAAGCAACATCTTTCTTACCATGAAAGATAAAGAAGAAAACTGTAATACATCTGATGGGAATGGAAGAATGGTGGGTTAGGGATAGGGATAGGACTAGGGTTAGCGTAAGGGTTAGGGTTAGGGTTAGGGTTAGGGCTAGGGCTAGGGCTAGGGCTAGGGCTAGGGCTAGGGCTAGGGCTAGGGCTAGGGTTAGGGCTAGGGCTAGGGCTAGGGCTAGGGTTAGGATTAGGATTAGGGTGAGGGTGAGGGTGAGGGTGAGGGTGAGGGTTAAGGTTAGGGTTAGGGTTAGGGTTAGGGTTAGGGTTAGGGTTACGGTTACGGTTACGGTTACGGTTACGGTTAGGGTTAGGGTTAGGGTTACGGTGAGGGTGAGGGTTAGGGCTAGGGCTAGGGTTAGGGTTAGGGTTAGGGTGAGGGTTAGGGTGAGGGTTAGGGCTAGGGCTACGGTTAGGGTTAGAGTTAGGGTTAGGGTGAGGGTGAGGGTGAGGGTGAGGGTGAGGGTTAAGGTTAGGGTTAGGGTTAGGGTTAGGGTTACGGTTACGGTTAGGGTTAGGGTGAGGGTGAGGGTGAGGGTGAGGGTTAGGGCTAGGGCTAGGGTTAGGGTTAGGGTTAGGGTTAGGGTTAGGGTGAGGGTTAGGGCTAGGGCTAGGGTTAGGGTTAGGGTTAGGGTTAGGGTGAGGGTGAGGGTGAGGGTGAGGGTGAGGGTGAGGGTGAGGGTTAAGGTTAGGGTTAGGGTTAGGGTTACGGTTAGGGTTAGGGTTAGGGTTAGGGTTAGGGTTAGGGTTAGGGTGAGGGTGAGGGTGAGGGTGAGGGTTAGGGTTAGGGTTAGGGTTAGGGTTAGGGCTAGGGAAAGGGGAAGGGCTAGGGCTAGGGCTAGGGCTAGGGCTAGGGCTAGGCTAGGGCTAGGGCTAGGGCTAGGGCTAGGGCTAGGGCTAGGGCTAGGGCTAGGGCTAGGGCTAGGGCTAGGCCTAGGGCTAGGGCTAGGGCTAGGTTTAGGGTGAGGGTGAGGGTGAGGGTTAGGGTTAGGGTTAGGGTTAGGGTTAGGGTTAGTGTTAGGGCTAGGGCTAGGGCTAGGGTTAGGGTTAGGGTTAGGGTTAGGGTTAGGGTTAGGGTTAGGGTTAGGGTTAGGGTTAGGGTTAGGGTTAGGGTCATGATGAGTTGGTTAAAGGAAAATGATGACAACCCAAAACCTTAGAAAGTCAGTTTTCATGCCAAGTCATGATTCAAGAGAACTATCTGAAAAAGTATTCTGAACCATGGACAGCACCAAATCTGTTCCATTTTTCCAACCACTCTATCATGGGTTCCACTTACAACATCTTGAGTCACAGAGCTGCTTATACAGTTCGACAGAGGAATGATTGAATCTGTCCTGTTTATCTTCTATAACTGTGTGGTTTGCTACAGCAACCAAACAGGACAAGGACAGACTTCAACGGATAGTTAGGACTGCAGAAACAAAAAACAATTCCATCCAGCCTGCCGCTCACTGAGGACCTGTGTATTGCCTGAACCAGAAAGCGGGCAGTGAAAATATCTACAGACCCCCCACATCCTGGACATAAATGGTTTCCACTTCTTCCCTCAAGATGGTGCTATAGGATATTGCACACCAAAACAACCACACACAAAGATAGTCCTCTTCCCTCCCGTGCCATCACCCTGACAAATAACTAATTCCCACAACACTATCTATGCCCTAGGATGTTAAACCACCTAGTAGGGCTGTATTACCTATTAACCTCCTCATAGCTTCATCTTTCCTATTATATATTTCCTTAGCTTCTTATGACTATAACTTTGTTGTTTGTACCTCTTGATTTATATTGATTGCCTTTATTTAATATCCTAATATGCTTTCTGTTGCTTGCGTATCCTATGACCATCACTGAGTTTGCATCCTATGACTTACGATAATTGTACTTTATGATTATGAGCATGATTTATTACTTGTTGCTTGGATGTATGCACTGGAGACAAATTCCTTGTGTGTCCAATCACACTTGGCCAATAAAGAATTCTACGGTTAATTCCAACAGTCTTCTTTCAACTAAATGCACCAGGAAATCCAAAGGATGCAAACGGATCCCCAAGTCAAAGTTAAAAGCAAAGAAACCCAGAGAGCAGATCACTACTGCCGCTGGTACAGATCCATAAGAAAATTTGCCATCTTTTTTGTCATGATTGAAGAACATTCAAAAGCTATCCTTCCATGATATTCTGACCTATGCATAGTACACAAAATTATCTGTTACTACTTCAGCTTCAACCACAATAATACATGAGCCCACAATAGATACAAATTCAAGGTAAACTGATCCAAACTCGATTGCAGAAAATACGACTTCAGTAACAGAGTGGTCAATGCCTGGAATGGACTACCTGACTCTGTTGTTACATCCTAAAACCCCCATCACTTTAACCTTAGACTGTCTACTGTTGACCTCACCCCATTCCTAAGAGGTCTGTAAGGGGCATGAATAAGGGCATCAGTGTGACTATTGCCCCTGTCCTACTGTCCCCATTTATTCATACCCATTTACTGTGTTCATATTTATGTTTATACCTGTTTGACAAATTAAATAAATAAATGATAAATTCTTCCTGGGATTCAGCCTAGATTGAAATTATGGCTGCTCCCATCAACACAGTTTCAAATACTGGATGATAGATGTTGTCCTTTTGCTACTTCCATCTTCCCTTGAATTAGGCAATGTAAAGTTATGGTAAAATATTGCTGATGGATAGTTCACCCACTCGTCATCTTGAAGAATAGGATTGCTCTTTCAAACAGGTCTAGGTTTAGATTTTAGGGAAAACTGGAGGCTTTTTTTCTTAAGGCTTTCCAAATTGCTTCTTTCACTTCATTGTTCCTAATAGTATAAACAAAAGGATTGAGCACTGGAGCGACCGTAGTATGGACCACAGAAACGGACCGGATTACACCGAAGGAAGAATTCTTCATAGTAGGTCTTAAATAGACAAAAAAGACTGAGCCATACAAAATGCAGACCACCACCAAATGGGAAGCACACGTCGAAAAGGCCCTCTGCTGTCTGGTTGATGAAGACATTCGGAGAATGGTGAAGATGATGAAGAGGTAAGAAATGAGGGTGAAAAGCAGAGAGGACATCACTACGACTATAGTAATAAGGAAGCCCAGGGCTTCAATGAGATGTGAATCTCCTCCTGCAATCTTTAAAACAGGCCCACCGTCGCAAAAGAAATGATTGATAACATTGGAGCTGCAGTAGGGTAGCTTAGCGATCAGGATGATCTGACAAATCATGTAGAAAAAACCCACCAGCCAGGCTGCCACGGATACCTTCAAGCAAACCCCAGAAGTCATGATTGTGGCATATCTCAAAGGATAGCAAATGGCTAAGAATCTGTCCAAGGATATCAACGTGATGATGAAAAATTCTGTAATGCCAAAGAAGAAGTAAAAGAACAGTTGTATTATGCAGCAATAGAAACAGATGGAATTGTTTGCAGAGAGATAGTTGACTAGCAGTTTAGGAATAAAAGCGGTGGTGTGTCCAATGTCAATGCAAGAAAGGTTGCTAAGGAAGAAATACATGGGCTTCTGGAGATGGCGGTCCAAAATTACCATCACAATGATGAGTCCATTGCCCATCAGACACAGGAGGTAGAGCAGAAAGATGCCTGCATGCATCACACCTTCCATTCGTCCTACTCTTGGCAATCCGACCAGGATAAACTCTACCGCTCTCGTACAGTTGGTCAAATTCATGTTCTCCTATAAGATCGGAAAATACGGCATCTTCAATGAGTCACTTTTTAAACACATTTCTAAATGCGGTTTTCATGAATTACTGTTGTGTTTGGAACACATAAAACATACTAGTGCATTTACAGAAATGCTATCAGATCAGGTACTATCCTATGTGGTGGACATGCCTAAAAGCAAAAAAAGAAAAAAAAACTTGTCAAAAATACATACATGGTTGGGAAAAAATGATAAAGCAACATATTGATTTGAAGCCAGAAATATTTTTGTTGGGTATTCTACCGGATAAATATAATAAGGGGAATACATATTTGATCTTACATGTATTAAGCACATACAGAATTGTATTTGCACAACAATGTAAAAGTGAAGAGATTCCTACAGATGAAAATGTGATTAAAAATATTAGAATGTGCAGAAATTAATTCGATTAACACTTACAATTAAGGGAGAAACAGAATACTTTTTGACATGGGGTTTATTTTATCAATGGTTAGCTCACAAAAGCAGAAGTTAGAAACATGGAAATATAAGAAAAAATATAGCAAAAAAAAAAATCACCCCATATTAGTACATTTAGTATGATAAGTGCCCCAGGACTTTATTTGTTTTTCCTTAAAGACGTTTCACTTCTCATCCAAGAATCTTCTTCAGCTCTGACAGGAGCTTCCATTCCCCACTATCCTGTCAGAGCTGAAGAAAGTCCAGTAGCTTCCTGAAAAAGCACCTTTGGGATATTATTACTATAATACATATATCAGTATTCAACTAGTGAGGGACGATACATGTATATATATTTTTTAATTTGATTTATATGCCGCCCTTCTCCGGAGACTCAGGGCGGCTTACAATTCGTTAAGCAATAGCCTTCATACTTTTGTATATTTATACAAAGTCAGATTATTGCCCCCACAAACTGGGTCCTCATTTTACCTACTTTAGAAAGGACGGAAGGCTGATTCAACCTTGAGCCTGGTGAGATTCGAACTTACAGTAATTGCAGACAGCTGGTGTTAATCACAATGCTATCAGTCTGCTGAGCCACCAGGCCCATATGTGTTCTTGTCTTTCATTTTTCAGTTTTAAGGCACTTTTTTAAAAAAAATAATAATAATAATGCTTAGTTTTATATTGTCTTTGTAATTTTTTCTTCTTTTTTGAAAGTGTGCATTTTAATTTTCTGTATAGAATAAAAAACTTGTATATAAAATATTCTCATCCCCAGCTGAGCACGACCGAGTAAACCTGTTGATACTATGAAAGTTCATCATAACATTCGGTGCATATTTATTAAAATTATTTGCCATCTATCTAGCCATGGGGTCACTCTAGGCAGCTTAGAAGCATAAAAAGAGAGAAATGAAAAGTATGTGGGGAAAAAAAGAAAAAAAAATCAGAAGCAAGAATACAGAGCAATGGGAAGCTTGGGTGCTCTCTGAGCTTGCTTGTTATACATAAGTACACAATCTCTGAAGAAACTTCTTGGATGAGAAGCAAAACATCTTCAAGGAAAAACAAAGTCCAGTTGCTTCTTCAAAAAGCAGCTTGGGATAGTTTATAGACATCAACACATAAGCTTCTACTGTATATGAATATTTGCTAAATTTCTCTCTCTCTCTCTCTGGATAATCTTGGATGACCATGACAGAAAGAACGCAAATAACGTATTTCTACATGCACATACCCAACATTCTTACGAATAAGAAGTGAAGATCCTCAACAGTGAGGGAGACTGAGATTGTTCTCCATTTCAATCTGAGACAAGAAAAAAAGCTATGCTCCCCAAATCATAGCAGTAATAACAAAATAATAATAACACTTTTTACAACTTCTCAGTGGAGATTTTACATCCTCAAACAGGATCCTCAGGTTTCAATGGCTTGCCAAGAAATGTTTTATCTACTCTGGTAAAACCAAAAAAAAACAAATGTTTTACCTAGTTTTTTAAAGCCTTTTCTGGAAATTAGTTCATAGAAATGAGAAGTTATGGGGTGATGTTTCATAGACACCCGAGATAACCTCTCCAGAGGAAGTCTGTTTCTAATTTCCCATGGGAATCCAGACATGATGCTAAGAAAATAATATTTTGAATCACTATGGCATGAACCTCATATAATATTTGGATTAAATCAGTAGTGGCTTCCATTGCTACCGGGTCCCTCGTGGGTGAGCTCGCAGGTGCGTGTAATACTTCTGCGCATGTGCACGACGCTTCTGCTTATGCGTGTGATGCTTCTGTGATGCGCAGAAGCATCTGCACATGCTCAGAGACATCCGGGCTGGTGGACGGAGTCTTCCGCTGCGGCCGCTACCAGTTCACCAAACCAGGGTGAACTGGTAGCAACCCACCACTGGATCAAATAATAACTTTTGCTCCAAGATTGTTCATCTTCTGTGCATGATTACTTTAGCAGAGTCTTGCAATAATAATTGGGGGGGGGTACTTTTCTTCCTATACTATTTTCGTCCTGTATGGAATTTTCTCTGTTTCCATGGAAGCGAAAAGGAGGAAAATTAACCCAATGGAAAATCTACGGAGCCGACTCAAGAAACTTGTTAGTCAGAAGTGACCCAACAATAAAACCCAGTTAATAGAAGCCATCATTCAATCTTGGTTTCACATAATAACAGCTGCAGAACTAAAAGATTTGGTTTATTCCATGGGAAGATGTTGTAAGGCCATCATTCATTCTAAAGGTTACCCAACTAAGGATTAACTGGCATGGTGATCATTTTTGTATCTTTTCTTTTCACTTTTGATCACTTTTCTGATCATTTTTTCACTTTTCTTCTTTATACTGTAACTGCTATTCTAATAGCAAATCCTTCCTAAAAGTTCTTGGGTTACATTCCTGATTAAATTATCTTGCTATTGAGATGTAATTTTATGGTACTACTCCCCAAAAATAGTGGTGTTAGTAGCTAGTTTTAGAAAATGCACTTTTCCCCGAAAGGTTTCCACAATTTTGGCCACTACCGTATGATATAATATGCATCATGTAAAATGCATAATAACACATACGTCGATGTAAAAATCCTTTAGCTTTTTCCGAAAATAACACGATGGCAGGATAGAATTAAAGAAATAAAACAATTCACTTTAGCCAATGGGCTAAACTGAAAAGCGTTATGGTTCCTGTATATCCACACCTGTCTCTGTGTGAAAAGTTTCAGGAATTGATCCTTGGTCCATATTCTCACTTTCAAATCTCGGCACTTGAACTGAAACTCCTCATTTCAAGTGAACCTGAAAATACCATCTGGATCTTTTCAAATCCCATAGTTTCAATGGCTGTGTGGCTTTCTGATTAACTCTACTTAGTTTTATCAACTCTCTACACCCAATGAAAGTGCAGTTAATCCTCAATTTACAACCATGTGTTTAGTGACTGTTCCAAGATACAATGGCAGTGAAAAAAAACCTGACTTATGACGAGTCCTCACACCTATGGCCGTTGCAGCATCCTCGTGATCGCATGATCAAAATTTACAGAATACAGAATAACAAATTTTATTTATTTATTTATTTATTTATATTTATTTATATTTATTTATATTTATTTATTTATTTATTTTTATTTATTTATTTATTGGTTCGATTTATATGCCGCCCTTCTCCGGAGACCCAGGGCAGCCTACAATTTTTTTTTTTATTTATTTATTTTTAATTTGATTTATATGCCGCCCTTCTCCGGAGACTCAGGGCAGCTTACAATGCGTTAAGCAATAGCCTTCATACTTTTGTATATATTTATACAAAGTCAGTTTATTGCCCCCACAAACTGGGTCCTCATTTAACCTACCTTAGAAAGGATGGAAGGCTGAGTCAACCTTGAGCCTGGTGAGAGCCTACAATGCGTTAAGCAATAGCCTTCATACTTTTGTATATACCTGCCTAGTAGGGCTTTCGGCCCCCCCTAAGTGGTGTTCTTTTTTATACAAATTCAGCTTATTGCCCCCACAATCTGGGTCCTCATTTTACCTACCTCAGAAGGATGGAAGGCTGAGTCAACCTTGAGCCTGGTGAGATTTGAACTTGCAGTAATTGCAGGTAGCTGGTGCTACTTAACAGCACTTTAGTCTGCTGCGCCACCAAGCCTCTTCATGGAATGTTATATTACGGAAATGTGCACTTCTACCAATTTTGTATGGAACTTAATTACTTTTAAAAATAATCATAATCATAAGTTTATTTGTCAAGCATACAGTATATAAGATAACAGGTAAAAGTATAAACATAATTTGAATACATGAAAAGGGTAAGTAAAAAGGAATATTAGGACAGGGACGGTAGGCACGCTGGTGCACTTATGCACGTCCCTTAGGAATGGGGTGAGGTCAACAGTAGACAGTTTAAGGTTAAAGTTTTGGGGGTTTGGGGAAGAAACTACAGAATCACGTAGTGTATTCCAGGCATTGACCACTCTGTTATTGAAGTCGTATTTTCTGCAATCGAATTTGGAATGGTTTACCTTGAGTTTGTATCTATTATTTGCTCGTGTATTGTTGTGGTTGAAGCTGAAGTAGTCATTGACAGGAAGGACATTGTGGCAGATAATTTTATGTACTATGCTTAGACTGAAGTCGGCGTAGTTCTAAATTGTCTAAGCCCAAAATTTTGAATCTGGTGGCATAAGGTATTTTTATTGCAGTTAGAGGAATGGAGGACTCTTCTCGTAAAATATCTCTCGACTCTGATATACAGTGTGAGTTCCAGACAGATGAGCTGTATTCAAGAATTGGTCTAGCAAATGTTTCCTATGCTCTCCTTAATAGTACAACATTACCAGAGAAGAAGCTACGCAAGATTAAGTTAACAACTCTTAATGCCTTTTTTGGCAATGTTGTTATAGTCGGCTTACAATCTGCTTACATTTACAATCTGCAAAATAATACATGTATGAATTAAAATAACACACAGAGATGCTTTATATTAGAGAAAATTGCAAGACTGCTATTCAGGAAAAATTGCTAGACAAATGCGTGAGGTTGGATGGGTTGCATAAAAATACATACGTATCTCAAATTCAATGGTTCACAATATTCCTGGTGAACCTCTATTTTGAAGATAAGTTAGATATTTTTCAACAGAATAAAATAAACAAGTAAATGGGAAGGAGAAAAATTGATAAGGAGGAAAATAAGTAAAGGAGAAGGAGAAGGAGAAAAATTGATAGACTAGCTTATGTCTTGCAACCCTCTCTCAGCCCTCTCTTTTATATAATAAGGTGTATATTTTCTATAAGATTATCTCAGTTTAACCCTGCTAAGACTGAGTGGCTGTGGGTACCGGCATCTTGTCTCGAACAAGATATTCCATCTTTGGTTTTAGGGGGTGAGGTGTTGCCCCCTGTAGATAGGGTACGCAACCTGGGCGTCCTCCTGGATTCACGGTTAAATCTGGAAGATCATGTAATGACCGTGACCAGGGGGGCATTTTCCCAGGTTCACCTGGTGCGCCAGTTGCGCCCCTACTCGGACTGAGATGCCCTATGCACAGTCACTCATGTGCTTGTCATCTCCTGTATTGACTACTGCAATGCTCTCTACATGGGGCTGCCCTTGAAGACCACTCGGAGGCTTCAGCTGCTGCAGAATGCAGCCACGTGGGTACTGATGGGAGAGTCCCGACACTCCCACATTACACCTCTCCTGATTTCCTTCTCTCCTCATTTTCTCTATTGTTTGTTTGTATCCAATTGGTAATGCTACTTCCCAAATCTGTTGAGTTGTTTGCATCTTATCAGAGACTAAATTATCGTATTGATGACATGATAAACTACATGACTTCTTGATGTGACTAATTTTATTATGAATTTTAGTATAATCTTGGGAACCATGAATATTGCTGACAGGCATGTGGAATTAATCAATCAGGATAGCACTGGAAGGGACCTTGGAGGTCTTCTAGTCTAACTCCCTGCTCAAGCAGGAGACCCTATACCAGTGATCATTTTGCCATCGCGTGCCAAAAGTGGGAGGAGCATGGGGGGTTGCGTGCTTGTGCCCACACCCATAATTCAATGCAGCCTGCCCCCACGCATGCGCACATGACTCCCCACTCCACTCCCCCTGCTGGTAGGGCCAGTAGGACCATTTTTTTGCCCCCCCCCCAGGCTCCAGAGGCTTTCTAGGAGCCTGGGGAGGGCGAAAACAGCCTTCCTCACCAACCTGGAGACCCTCCAGAGCCTGGAAACAGCCCATTTGCTGACTTCCGGTGAGCCCGAAAGGCCTGAAAATTAGCTGGCTGGCGTGCGCATGGGCACTGCAGCTGAGCTAGGGCAATGCTCGTATGCCCACCGATATGGCTCCAATAGGTTCGCCATCACGGCCCTATACCATTTCAGATAGGTGGCTGTCCAGACTCTTCTTAAAAACCTCCGGTTTTGGAGAACCCACAACTCCTGGAGGCAAGTTGTTGCACGGATTAATTTTTCTCACAGTCAGGAAATTCCTTCTTCGTTCCAGGTTGCTTTTCTCCTTAATTTAGTCTCCATCTATGGCTTCTTGTCCTGCCTTCAGGTACTTTGGAAAATAGATTGATCCCCTTTTCTTTGTGGCAGCCCCTCAAAGAGAGGGGAGGGGCCAGCCAGCAATTTAACTATCGGTTCGCCTGAACCAACCCAAACCGGCTGAATCCACCCCGATGACCATGTGACTCATTTAACAACCAAGTTAAAAATAGTCATAAAATTGGGTCTGGTCACATGATGATTGATTGATTGATTGATTTATTTATTTATTTATTTATTTATTTATTTATTTATTTATT